TCTTTAAAATGAGCGTGTCGCGTCTCTTTAACATGAGTATAATTACATCACAAAAATATTATGATATGATGTAGAATCCTTCAAACTAATAAATTAATTTTCTTAAAAGCACAATTTAGGTCATAATCTTTATAGTATAAAATTTTTTCAAAAATTTTTGAGTAACTTACTATGATAAGTATGGTAAGTTAGTGCATTTCGTTCCAAACAAAACCCAACACTACGCATATCATTCCTATAAAACAACATAGTTTATTAATATAGTTGATAAAGTTTCATAAATTTAATTATAACAATTAATATGAAAACCTACCCAAATACATTTGCCATCGCCTTTTAATAATAAACCATAATTTCATTTCTTGTTCTGCTTTATCCAAATTAAAAGTTGCAACATTACCATTTTCAAACAACGTTACTAGTAGTTTAAAATAATACAATTAATAAACTGGTTAGAAAAATTAAAATAGTAAATTTGAACAACTCACATAGAATATTTTCAGTAACATTTTTTCCAACATATCCGGGTTGCAATTTAGAAATATTTAATGTTTTTACCGCTATAACGCCCTACATATATATAACATTTACAGTTATAGTTAAATATTAAATAGAAACTTATAAGTAATAAGAGTAGATATCTTACCAGATCAGATTGACTTACGAAATCTAAATAAGATGATGTAATAACCATTCTCAATTCCCAATTTTCACCATTCACATTTGTTGCACGATTTGAATTATTTATCTGACTATCATCTATTGATCTATCAAACCATCCTTTTCTTACGCGTGTTGATGACGGCAAATGAATATCAGCATGTCCTCGTTTGAATATTAATATGTAATTTTCCTAGTGATTACCCAAATTTATATTAATACCCTTGCACAATTTATTTGAAATATCAAATTTATTTTATAAATAATTTACTTGAGTGACAAGAAGTAATATATTGCCATTAGCGTTAACCTCAGCTCCTACAACTTGAAATGGTGATTCTTCAAGAACTGGTAAATATTCACTACGAACTATATAAGCTTCTTTACTATAAGAATCTTGTTTAGGATCTGATGTAGATGTCGTATTGCTATAATCGAAGGTGAATAAAATGTCATTCAGAGCAATGCATATCGTTGTCATGTTACGTGCTGTAACTATTGAAAAAAAGTTTGATATTAAACGACTAAACAAAAAATAATAATTATCAATGATAATTGGTTACAATAATTATAAATTTACCAACAATTGGTTTTGGAATTGTAATAGGTGATGTGGGAGTTATACCATGCACAAAATCAAATTGTTCATATTCTGTTCTTTTGGGTGAACTTTGAGTATACTGCTTAAACAAAAAGAGAGATTATATATTATATACATTATGTAAATTAACATATAAATTAACATAGATGATTTATAAATAATGATTGTATTAAAAATTCTACCGAAATTAATTTTTTGTTTCTCCAACTAGCATCGTCAGAAGACGAAGAATTGTGAATAACCATCACTTGAAAAGTCCATGATTCTTCATCCGCTGTTATTTCTGCATTCATAACACGAATAACGCCTGATCTTTTCAGGATAATGTAATAATAAATTTTAATTGCAATTCCGATATACTAAATTTAAATTGAAGAATATACTCACGCAGCATACACGCGGCGATATGTCAAGGTTTTTCTTTTCAACGGTTCTTCTCGCGTGATTCCTAGGATATAAATTTTTAACATAAGGTTAGGATAATTTCCAGATACGCTTAAATTATATGTAAAATACTAACTTTGAGTTGGTCCCGATTCACTAGACTTTACAACTAATGCCTCATCTTTTCGTTTACCAATTTCAAATATATTTCGGGGTATTTGAATAGTCCGAAATTTGGCATTATCAGGATTCCTGTGAAATTTAGAGAATAATGTTACTTATGGTTATGGGTTACCATATATACATATCTATATACACATATATATACACATATATATACACATATATATACATATATATATACATATATATATACACATATATATACATATATATATACATATATCTATACATATATATATACATATATACGCACTCAATTAATATCGATTACCTTGAATATAAAATCAAAGAATCCTCTACATGAAACGATTTAATTTTTGTTGTACCAGGTAAAATTATATCTTGATACTCAAATGATGGGTAGTTGTGACATGTATAAAAAGGTTTCTTACACTCTAATCAAAAAATAATAGTGATAGTAATTATACGCGCATTAAGTTACAATAATCAGAAAATAAAAACTTACCAACATAATCAAAGTCAGAGCTTCCTGATTCAAATTTTCCTATGTTATATAATCTCAAAACATATTGAATTTGTTCCTGTTCTTGTTTTTGATATAACACCGCTAACGCATTATTTTCATCAAAATCATGATTTGGTGTAAATTGATAATTTTCATGATAATAACTTGAAATATGTGTTATTGGACCTTCCAAACGATGAATATAAAGAAGTTGCCATTCTATAAAAATTTACATGACCAAAGTAAAAAAAAAAAAATTATTAGATCTAACTAATATAATAATATCCATCAGAGATATCTCCAAAGAAAATTTGTACATACTATTATTTGGGTCAAAATTATTAGATGATAGGAGTAAACGTAATGGACGTCTATATTGTTTAATAAGCCCTACAAGAACATACAAGAACATAAAATCATTCTAGGTTATATAATAATCATAATTTGTATCGCCTATTTTACACATACCAGTAGCATCATCAAAATCTGATTCATACCCCTTCCATATAGCTGTTAAATAAACCCAATCATTTTGCGCACAAATGAATATCCCATCAGGTTTATAAACTTCAAAAGAATATCCAAATATAACATCTCGTGTTAATATTATATTTCGAGGGTAAGGAAGAGGTGCTTTATGTAATGATATTATCCAATATATAAATGTTATGCCTACAGCAAACATAATCAATGGTCGATATCGTGTCATTATTGGCTAAAAATTTAATTTAAATGGCGGATTTAAAAGAAATTCTCGAAAGAGTAAATGTTATTTATAATATAATGTTTTCTCCTTTTGTTTTTTTTAATCGACCAAAAATTTTAATTCCTGAAATAGAACTAGTTAAAAAACTATTTTAAATCAGAAATTCCCGATAATTTATATTCATTTATTTGAAAAGTTCAATCTCTAGCCTAGGTAAACATCTTAATTTTAAACACACACCCTTTAAATTGTTGATTTTGTTTAATATTTTGTTATCGAAATGCGGAAAAATGTAGAACTTTAATGAAGGAAAACTCGCAACGAATTTATATAAATCATTTTGTCGATCAATTAAACGTAACCATTCATGTGACTGATTCTTAACAATCAATTTTTGTCTAATGAAATGAACATGTGCTCCTGACCTAACCGTTCTGCACATGAAAACTTGTTCGCTCAAAAAATTTCTTAAATTCAAATTTTGATGTTTGATTACTTCGATATAATATAATATTATATTATATTGACACTTAATATTAACATTGACCATAATAACACAAAAAAAAAAATCCATTATAAGTAGAACGCCTATTCAAAGAATATAGTTTAATAAATGATCAATAAAATATATATATATACTGATTTGCATGTAAACGCACATAATTTTTGATTTTACAATAATGTGCATTAAATTTCGCACTCTGCGCACGTAGAGCTGAATTTTTTACGCTGCTTAACACTATCGCTATGAATTTCAGAAATTGGTTTATAAACCAGAAAGTTTAGGAAATATCACATTTAAACAATAAAAAAACTATATAGGATGTTAACCGTTTAATTTAGCTACGTACGTACCGTGGCGTTAAAATAATCCTGGCTCACAACAAACATCATTCGACCCAGAACTATGATGACTTGTCTATTTTGTACTATGCAAAATTTTATTTTAATCTAATTTCATTTTAATTTATTATTTAATAATTATAGAGTGTTTTTTTCAAGCTTTTATATTTTAATAATAAAAAAGATATAAAAAAGCATACCAAAAAACACATAATAAAAAAATCAAAATATGTCTTGAAAATAACAACAATAATGAGTTAAGAACATTATATATTTGGTTTTTTACTATCATACAACTAAGTTTTTTTTTTTGGATTTTTATATTTTAATATAAAATTTTTTTTTTGTTGGTTTTCATAATCCGGCCGGGTCAAAATTTGAAAACTTGTAAAAAAGTTTTTTCTATGTTTTAATAACCGTCATTTAAAATTAGATTATTATCGATTAAAATCTAAGGATTTTAAACGATTCTCATCACCACCGTCGATTAAAATCGATTGGGTTTTCATCGATTATAATCGATATATATAGAAAGCCATCGAT